GGGGGGGGGAGGGGGACCGTGTTTGTGCCAATTATTCCGGCACTCATAATAGGCCTCTGTGTGCTTTGGTGATGCAGTGCAACTTCACCTCACAATGAAAGGCTCTCATTAAAATCCTCGGCCTGCACTGACTGGCAGAGTCCTTTGCAGCGCTGCCTTTGTGCGGATCTTCTGTAAAGAGCACTGGGAATTCATTAAAATATACAGCCAGACTGGGGGGGGCTATGCAAGGACTTCATTTATTATAATAATAATGATAAAAAACACACAACAATAAAGCATGTTTTTAAAACAACCCATATGGATAACACCAAAACATGACTGACATCCTCCTTGGAAGAAACTGTTCTCTTTGCTGCTCAAACTGCATGGTCTTGTTGCTGCCCCTATGCGCTGCCCCCCCCCACACACACACATTACCACCGAACCAAACCCAATGTGACCCACGTGACATGCACTGCACCACCTCCCATACAAACTCTGTTTATCACACCCTTCATGTGGAAAATTTTCAGGCCGCCGCAGTCGATCGCACTGGTTAATTTTTAGCTTCTGCTAAGCACTTGGCAGGCTGCCAGACAGAGGGATTCTGGGAAAGAGGCGAGGCTGGCCAAGTACAAACTGCCGGCATTAAACAGGCCTGACAGCTCCTCTACTTTCCCGAATCTGGCCATGGTTCAAAGTGCTCTTTCATTCGGAACACTGGCAGGCTGCCGCATGCATGCAGATTTACTTCACCTACCCTCTGAGAGCTGACAAACGCCGCTGCTGTCGCCATGGCGATAAGAGGCCATCAGACCGGCCTGCCCATATCTGTGGGATCGCTCCTTATTTTTCCACACGCACTCCCCTGCCCCCCCCCCGCCCCCATCACTTCCCGTCAACATCTCTCGCTTGTTTATTTTGGTAATTAGAGGGGTGGGGGATTTTTAATTATTGACTACATGAATCATGCTTGATATGAACATGTTAATAATAAAAAAAAAATGCAGGTTATACAGAATATCACAGAGAGGGCAGTACATACACCAGACTCCAGTCAGTTTTGCCAGGTTTGTACTAAATAAATAGAAGACATGGCAGAATCTATCCGGAACTGTCAGGTCAGCTTCAATATTTTGCATCTCACAGGTACCTGTTCCTGACAGTCAATCGAACTGCTGATCCCCAAATCAAGCCTTAATTAAAATAAAGGCGAATAAGACTGTACCATACACATGTGTGTGGGGGGGGGGCTTATCAAAGTGGGTTATGTAGAATCCTTACATTCAATGAAGGTCTTTCTGCAAACCCACGTTTCTCACCATTGCCTCAAAGTGGGTTAATTTACAGGGGGGCCAGTGGCCAGGAGCAGCCGGGGCGCTCTGCTCCCTGTCACGTCCTGTTGACAGCCATCCAGTGTGACGCCAATTCAAGCGAGTGCCCACAAAATCCATGCTAAGAGCCACAGGAAAGCCCCCAACCCTCCAAAGGTCATGCAGTAGGATCCAGTTTCATTAATCAGTGCTGCCACACACCTCAGTGAAAAGCTCTCGTAACGCAGACGGAAATTTCATAAAGCGCAAACATTTCCCCCTCATTTCCATGACAAATGATTTAATGACATTATCATACAACACCATCAACCTACAGTGTCAGGGCTGTGAAATTTCCTCTGTCTGCACTGACATATAAAGGCCTTTTCACTAGCAGTTTTATTCCAGTGCAGAGCATGACACAGGTACACCCCAGGCAGGACACTAGGGCAGTATTTCCCAATCTGCTCCTCAGTCGCCCACAGCCGGTCCACATTTTTGCTCCCTCCGAGCTCTGTGCCAGACAGTCCACATGGACTATCTAACATAAACTATCTGGGAGACCCCAAGGACCAGACTGGGAAACACTGTCCTAGGGCATCACAGGGCACACGCTCACACACCAAGGGCAACTTAAAGGCACCAGTCCTCCTTCAACTGGTCTTTGAACCAATAGGCAAAAACCAGAGTAGTCATGTGACAACAGGGAAAACGTGCAAACAAAACAAAATAACAAAACATTAACAAAATAATTTTTTACCAGTGTTTTGGAATTGCCAATAGCAATAGATGTATTTCCACAAGTGCCACTCTCACGAAACTCAACATGCCACAAATAAAATATGGCCAGTCACGTGATACACAGATAAAAATGCATGAATGAGAGGCAGGAGAGCATGTCCTATGCTGACGAAACCACAGAAATCGATTTCCAGGCTGCCTGATGAAACAACAGGACAGAACGGAAAACCCATCTACAGGACAATTTAACACGCACACAAACAAAACAGCAGCAGCAGCAGCAGACTGTTCTGCAACGTTTCTCCCCTTACCTGGATGACTCTGGTTGGCCGGATACCATCCCCATGGTAACATCCACTCCCCCCGTGGACCCCGTCCTTCCCTCCCGAGACGTCGGCTCGCTAGCGATTTCCTCCAGAAGCCTGCTGTTTCCTGTAGAGGATGAAGGGATTTTAGGAGGCAGGTTCTGGCGCCTTTGGATCGGTGGGGCATTTCTGGAACCTGGTCTTGGGAAACAGGGCTTTCTGTTACCGCAGGATGGCTTTGGGATTGATGCTACTGCGGTGACAGCGGGCATTTCATAGAAAAGCGGCGACAAGTTAGATGCAGATAATGCACTTCAGCAGCAAAGGCGTTAGTTTTGTTCTTCATGACAAACTTGTTCACTTCTGAATAAGGATTAACACTGCATAACTTTTAATTTTTTTTTATATTCATGGGGGCTAAAGTTTGAGTCACAAGACATCTTAGAACTCGTAATACAAAAGCTTTGTGAAGCGTTCTGAGGCTCTCCAATTACAAAGGTTATCCTGAATGACAGACACCATATAATCAGCCTCATTCTTAAAAACAGTTTATCGGGGATCCACACCAACTGAATTGGTTCCCTGATACCAGTAAACAACCTGAGTAAATTGGGTCTGTTTATATGACTGAGATTGGAATTTCTGCATGCTGGGGTGAGCTGGAAGGGGATTCAGGAAGGAAGACCACGCATACGAATTACGCAGAGCCTCATTTATCTCAGCCGTCGTGAAGGCATCATCTGGGATGCTGATGCCTACAAATTCTACTCTAGGGATCTTTGAAAACTGGAGCTAATCGAGAAACCAGCGCCTGAAATGAACATTTTCTGTTATGATGCCTGAAAAATAAAAAAAAGCAAATTGAATCTCACATTATATATGCAGCACTGTTACGATGGGGAGGAAATCATGGTTACATTCAACTGCGATTTCTGTTCATGTTTCCAGAGCCCTAAAAATACAGTAAGAGGCTCTCAGCTGAATCCCCCAGGGCACTGCGAGCTCGGCTGCTTGGTGTCCAGCTCACATTTTTTCGGAGGGCGTTTCCTGCCACTACGCACTGCAGCTCAGTGCGTCACTACGCTACACTACACACACACACACACACACACACACACACACACACACACACACACACACACACACACACACGCGCGCAGCAATTGACAATGCCAGGGCCGGCAAATTCAGGAATAAGCAGCCGTTCATACGGCCGTTAAACTGACCTGAAGGGAAAAACACACTTTACAAACAGCTGCTGGGCGGCAGCACAAAGGCGGCCGAAGGACGGCAGGCCCCCTGACAAAACAGCGGGGAGCGTAAATGCAGAAGGCCCCCACCCCTGCCCCCGGATTTTTCTTCAGTGAATATTCGACCACCTAAATGGATGCCAAACGGAATGCAAGCCTCGCAAACTCTCCTGCATGAGGACATGGGGAGCAAATAAATCATAATTACCCCCAAATCGCGCCCCCCCCCAACAATTACCGGGTTAAACAGCGGTTAACTAAAAGAAAGTAGATGGGAATACATCTGAAACAGATCAAATCAACACATGAACACAGCGGCCAGGTACGCCTTCACTGTCCCACGTGAAATACGAACTTGCGGAGAAGTGACAGGACGCGAGGGCACAGGAAGCACGGTGCAAAAAGCTGGAAGGAGACGATTCGGTACGACCCCAATGTCATTAATCAGAAATAAGAAGCGTTTATTCAGTCTAACTAACATTAATCTAGGAGCATGATTGAAAGCAGGATAGCTGCTGGGGAAGGACACAGGTTTGCGGCACGTTTACCACATAATGGGTGTTGCTCGAGTCCCCTCGAGACGTATAGCTATATTGGTGCAGTTAACTATGCCAATACGACAGCCTCAGCCAACTGCACCAGTAGGATAGGCAACTGTGCACATAGGTACATAAACGTTTTGCCTTCCAGATGCTAATATCCAAAGTCTTAAAACATGACTGGCACAGAGAAGGCATTACCGAGAAAGAGGCCCCGCCCCCATGCGTGCACCAGCGCACTGTCATCAGCCTGCAGCTCCCAGCGGTCACACCGTCGCCCTGACAATTGGCTGCTGTGGCAGACAGAGGCACCTGCTAATAAAAAAGCCTGACATTTATTTTTAAAAAGCTCCTGTCTGCAGGGAGGGGGAGGGGGAGGGGGCTGGGGCCCATGTGAGCGGCCCGAGGCTGGCCAGCGGTGTTGGGGGTGCAGCAGGCTGCAGGCATGCATGCTATGCTAATCCTGATCGTCCGGCAGCGCATTAGCAGCCGCGCATTATGCTAATGGTGTTTTTGCCAGTAACACGCTAGGCGGTAGGTAGGTTGCGTAATCTGTAAGCAGTAGGAGCAGATTTTGATTATTTTATATGGTGCAGCTTAATGGACGGACCAGCTTTTCGTACAGGGAGTATCCTGACCCCATGACCCTGACCAGAATACGCAGTTAGAAGATGGATGGCTGGTTGACTAATGGACGTTATGCTAATTTTAATGTTGCCACGGCTGCTGAATCTTGCAGGATCTTGCGTTTCTCCTTGAGCCAGACAGTGACCCGAGACAATCCCCTTCCCACATCAGAGGCGACGGCGGCAGAGAGAGGCCAAGAAAGTCTCGCGGTTCGAGCCACAACACCGGCATGGAAAAGACATCAGGCGTCTGGAAGCTTGGCCGGTGTTTCCAGCGTGGGAATCGAGCGTAGCTGCTCCCCGCCCTGGAAAGCCAGTGAGGTCATGCCTGGCAGAGGAGCGCCTTCCCCATTTCATTGATCATTAATAAGCGGTGACATCATGTGCCCCAGCCCCCTAAAACGGCATCTACATTTCCGAAAGGAAAGATCGATCCAAGGTGCGAGGTCATCTATCCCCCACAATGCTTTGCAGCGCCAGATCTTGCAGTCCGAGTGGTACGAACGACTCTTTGCTAACTGTCAGATCAGCCAGCAGCCATCACTTACGGAGGGCCTGTGCGTCTCATGATACTCAGCGCTTTACAGAGACCGGAGACACCATTAATATCGTGTCACAGTGTGAGTGGAATTAACCCTCTGAGGTGGAATGCATCGGCTCTAAGCAGACCTGTTGTGTGACTCGGTTTTCAGGCTGATTCCCCAAACGAACAGCACCGGGCGCCGACATGCACAGACCAGCCTGGAGCCACATACCCAGTGACTGCTGCTCGCACATACCCCGTAAAGGACGAAGCACACACTCTCACATGCCCGCATGCCGCCGTACAGCGCCGGGCTCCCATGCCTTGTTTTAAGACGGAGCTTTCCATGCTATTCCGCTTCTACCTCCTTGGCAACCGTTGCCAGGCTGCGAGGCGCTGAACTGGGCTGCCGCATCTCCTCCCCCAGCCCTCCATTTCGGGCATCTAAACAAAAGGATGCCGGTTACCTAGCAACAGAAGGCATACAGTAACCGTATACAGTACTGCAGACAGAGCTGCATCATAAATCACGGACCAGATAGAAATTTATAGGGGGGAAAATGAATATTTCTGATTACTGTCTTTATTCATCTGCAAAAAGCTACAGAGGACCATTTTTGCAGTTTATCATTTGAGGCAGGCGTCCTCTGGACAGCGGGAAGGAGGAAATAAAAATGGAAGAATTTAAAGAGCACAGTAAGGCAACGGGAAGTTTATATTAAAATAGACACATCTGGTGGAGTAAAGTTCACGGTGCTATAAAAACTCAGTCCACAGGGAATTCTGCTGGAGGAGAGACCTGTTAAACTTCCTATTTTAGGCTAAAAAGCATTATTCCAGTTAATAACCAGAGACTGATTTTTGAGGTCTCTAGCCAGCGTAGCACATTCGTTGTGACGGTTTTGCCGGAACAAAATGCACAACGTGGCTGGGTGCCTGGCAAACACGTCTGGTTCCGTGCTACGGAAACCCCCGCGCCAAACTCGCCAGCGGGGAGTGTAAAGGCGCCGAGGCACAAAGAACACGCTCCGCTCCTTGGGAAACACCCAGCATAGTTTACGCTGGCAAAGGCCACGCCGGACCTCACGTGTCTGAGCTTTCCGCCTGTGCGCGGCCCGTATGCCACATGATGAGATCCAACATGGTCCAGTTGACAACAACTAATGAGTGTTGCCGAAATCTACGTGACTCTGTCAGTTGCCATGCCGACACCTTTCCCACAGACGCATGTGTGTATATAAACACACTACTGCACATTATAAACGAACAACAATGCAGCGAGGGGGCCAGCTCACAATCTTCAGTACAAACCTCCACCTAATAAACAAAAGGTTTTGTTGCTTGGGCCACCGATTCCATCTTACAGCCCTGAATTACAATCTAGGCGTGAACCAGCAACCCGCCTGTAACCACAGCCTACAGCACGGCCTACTGGGGCAGGAAGAGCCCAGCTTCAAGCCTCGAGGCTAACCTCTACTCCCTCCCCCACCCTAACCCCTCCAGGAGGTCAGCTCTGGACTCAGACTGTATAAGCATCTGGCCGATGGGAGGGGCCCCAAGGACACCCCACATCGGGTGGGGCTAAGCTCCTGATTGAACTGGACCGGAAGGGCGCTCCGGCTCATGACACATCAGTACATTTCAGTGGAGTGCAGAGCGGAAACGCACACTAACTAATCACCCCATCCTCGTCCCCCTAGGACCCACCGGGACAGCCACCTGGGGGGGGCGGGTGTCACAGGAACACAGCGTGAGAGAAAAACCAGAACATCAGGCTATGCGGGATAGACACTGCAGGTAGGACCTGGACAGTGAGGCTGCTCCATGGCGTGTGACCAATGACAGGATTAAGAGGGGGGCTCGGGGGGGCAATGCTGGCACATGCAGCAGCAAGGTAGGCGAGAAACTGAGACATATAGTGCAAACAGTGCAGAAACAGAACATCCTGAAAAAGATTAAGAAAATATTAAGGAATATGATCACAATCTGAAGGGG